GTATTTGTTTTCATTTATCACCACTATAAAAGCCCCTGTGGTTGTTCCTAAATGGCAGAAAGCATCTCTTGATTCTCAATGTGCTAACAAATTGCTTCCTTAGACTACAGTGTGGCAGGATCATACTGAGAGGAAATAGCATGCCTCTTTAAGGAAAAGTCCAGAATTTTATGCAGAAGCAAATGTTGATTTTTACACTAACCTCTACTATGAATAGAGGTATTACTTTATGAAGGAGCACTATTTAATTCCAACAAAGTGCTGACCTTTATCCCCAGCATCCACTGTCATGATGCTTTCCCTTAAAGACCTTTTGGCTTAGCTCTGCTAATAATCAAAAGCCAGGCTTGGTGAGATAAATCATACAGTGACCCAAACTCAAGAGTGCGTGTTCTAATGATGCTCTAGTGGAAGACTTTGTATTTGCTTTCATCCTTCCCATAAGGCAGCAGATACGCATAGCCAGGCAAGGTCACACAGGACTGTAATCAGAGGCAGGAGGATTGCCTGGAGTTTGAGACCAGCCTGGCCTAATAGTGAGTGCAGTGCCTGCTTGAACTGCATAGTGAGACCTTGTCTCGAAAAACAAAACAAAATTCACTGTAGCTTTGGTCCCTGCCTTATGCTATGAGGGGAATAAACCAGGAGTATGCTCGAGAGCCTCTGCTTGAGGGGGCTGTGTGGCCTCATGGGAGGGAAACATAGTGCTGGAGCCAGGTCTGGGGGAACAGGGGTTGAGCCCCCTGCAGAGCTTGCTGGATGAGTGAAGGGCCCCAGAGGGCCAGGAAACAGCTGGAGGCCAGGTGTACTCCCAAGAACCAGTCTGCCATAAGATCTGGGCTGAGTGAGGTGTGCTGGGTCTGTGTTTAGAAGCTCACACCAGCTGCTCTGCAGAGAATGCATGGCACACAGGAAAGGAAGTGTGGTTACCAGGTTACAAAACTAAGGTCTCCTAGTAGGAGATCTATAGTGGTTATGTGTGGCCTGTGTCTGCCTGTGAGCTCTTCCGGTGATCCCAGTCAGTAGAATTAGTGCAGTGGAGATGTACATCTTGAAAATTCAGTCCCTGTCCTTCACCTGCTTTGCACAAAGGTAGCTACCAGTTTTCTCTCCCACCATCATTGCATGTTGCAAGACTCACCCTCACTGGCCTGGAAAATGAAGACATCCATTGCCTGCTCAGGTGCAGAGCAGGGGAGATGTGGTTTGATGGCAGTCTGAATGAACAAATTGTAGGTAGAGCTGGGTGTGGAGGTGTGCACCTGTACTCAGCATTCCGGGAGGCTGAGGCAGGAGCAAGTCTGAGCCCAGCCTGACCAACTTAGTGAGACTCTACCTCAGAAAATAAAAGACTAGAGATGTAGTGGGCAGAGGCCTTGGGTTTAATCCACAGTGGGGCAGGGCTGGGGTTAGGTAGGAACTAAGGATGGAAGGTCATTAACTCAGTGTGAGTTACAGAAGTGAGTTCACAGGCCACTTCCAGATGAGTGTGTACTGGCTCCAGCACAATCAGATGTTGGTGAAGGAGAGCTACAAACTAGAGAGGATTCTAAGGTCAGTGACCAGAAGGATCCAGCGACTTGGAAGCAGTGCTTGGAGCCAGGGGTCGGGGCTAGAGGCGGAGTCTTTAATTTTGAGAAAAGAACTGGGAGAAAGGCAGTGTCCTCTTGCATTACTAGCAGAGCCGCCTCATGGAAGAGTACAGACTGATACCATGTTGCCCCTGAGGACAGACAGACACTTAGAGTGGGAGTGCAATTTCTGAGTTTATGGGAGTGGCAGCTTTTCAGTGAAAACAATGGTGCAAATGGCGAAGTCCTCGTTGCTGGAAGTATTCAAGCAGAACCAGATGATGCCGTCTCCAGTCTGCTATGCAGAGGGACTTTCTGTGCTGAATGGGTAGCTGGATAACATCTCAGCCCCCTTCCAGCTCAGGGCTCGTTACCATCCACTGACCCTGGGTCATATGGAAATGAGGCAGACTGGCCTCTGAAGTCAAACCTGGGAGGGATGCAGGCCCCAGCTGTTAAATACAGGGCCAGAAATGTCTCTTCCTTACTGCCTCATCTCTCCGCCATGACCCTCTGCCGAGAGGATGACTTACTCTACTTCCTGTGAGCCTTTGGGAGGAAATGAACAGCTCCCTGCTGGAGCCTAGGGAAGCAGGGCAGGGTTCAGGTTGGAGGGATTTAACTGCTGATCAAGTTGGACATGGGACTTGGCTGGAGCTCAGGCCACTGACTGAATCAAAGACTTGATTCCTCCGGCTGCTGTTGGTTACTGTGTGGCTGGAGAGACAGCTTGGAAACTTCGCTTGTTGTGGCCAGCAACCTGAAATTTCACCCTGGAGCAGAACTCTGCTTGTTTTGAATCTGAGGTCTGAGGGGCTCAGACAGAACAGAGTGGTTTGTACTCATCAGCCCCGTCCATGTCATGCAGCCCTTAAGACTGCTGTGACCTGCCTCTCCCACCACCCTTTTCAGTCCTTGGTGAGACTAGAGGAGGGACAAGTTCTGACCTTTGAGCTCTTCTTCCCTCATCTTCTGGTGGAACTCAGAGTTTAGTACCAGCTCCTCCCTCTCGGACCACAGTCCACTAGAGAAGAAGTGCCGAGGTTTGATTATTGCCCCGAGAGTCCAGCCAGTGGTCCATAAGGAGTTAATGAGTAGGCAGACCAAGGTGGGAGAAAGACCGTGCAGGCGGGAACCAGCACACCAGAGTTCATTCTGCACATGAGGCCACAGGGCCCCTCTGCAGCTCACCAGCCCTACCCACAACATTGAAGGAGCAGTCAGTAACAAGTTCTCCCTAGACCCTTGCTAAATGCAGGCTCTGGCCTCTAAACTTCCTCCTCCTCCTCCTCTCCTTTTTAAACAGCTTTTCTTATAAATCCCAGAACGAAATAACAAAGCATCCTTTCTGTGTACTTCATGTAATTGTACTGGATGACTGAGAATATGTAGCCTAAAGTGTGCAGAGAACAGTTGCCAGTTGTTATTCTCTAGTTTCTAATATTTTCAACGTATTGATATTGATTTCATAATTTAAGACGAATTTTGAGTGTGTTATCAAAAAGGCAGTTTTGGTACTCACTTGCACTCTTTATCATGTTTCTCAATTTTTAGATGCTTTTTAAAAGTAAACATTTCTAAAACTGAGGTGAGCCATGCAAAGTGGAAAAAACTTATCAACCTTTCTTTTTTTATCCCAAATGCTGATATGAAGAAACAGTCTCAAATCACCATCTTCTGTACTTATCAAGGCTGCTGATATCATTTAATTTTCTCATGGAAATTAAGGTGGCGAACAGCTAAGTGATGTCCTTCCCGAATAGTCAGGCAAGGAGTCACATGGCTGTCAGCATCACTCTCTATGCTTCTTACCTGTTTCCTCCCATGGATCATTCTGCCCCACCACACTGATTCCCATGAGGAGGACAAAGGCTTGGCTGGAACCTCCTTTCTGAGTCCCACATTCGCAAAGGTTAAGCCACAGCTTCAGCAGTTGCAGTCAGCAGATGGCCATGGCGCTGGCATTGTCTGTAGAGGACAGAGGCGAAGGGGGCTAATGCTACATCCATCTACAGAGTGGACCAGAGAGCCTCACGGCAGTGTCCAGCACCGCACATCTACGTGCTTCTAGGAAAGAGGGCTCCATTGCTGGAGGACACAGGTGGTGTGGGAACGCAGCATCCTGGCCATCTTCTCAAGTCATTGCCCGGCACAGCTGCAGCACACATCCCTCAAAGACTCACACCCTGCCTGGGGTTTCCACCCTCCACCTATCATCTCCTTTTAAGATGGCACTGCAAAAAGGCGAAACTGAACTGCTTTTCAGGGAGTGGCAGGAGCGTACACAAGAGCTTTGCTGTTTTCCCCACTCCTAAAAACTTCTCAAGGAGCTGGAGGTGTCGCTTGGTGGTGGGGGACTTCCCTAGCAGCATCACTAGGAAATAAAACTACTGCTCAAGAAAAGTCATCATAAAATAGGTATTTGTAAAAACTGTACTACATTCCTACATCTGGCACAGTTTAACCACACTCATGATGGGACTGTCACTAGCAAAATGAATCCCTTTTTACATTGGAATATAAGGAAGCTGGGTTAGATTGTTTATAATGCCATTCTTTCTTTTCCTGTGTATGTTGGGACCCTTTTTAAGGACTAAATGAAATAAGCTCACTTAAATCAGGACACTTAAACTCACTTTTTGGAACAGACACATAGATATTACGAACAACACTTTCTTACTCTGTGTCCTCATCCTGCCGATGTTAGAGCTGTAACCCGTAGCTCACCCACTGCACTGTCCAGTTACTCTCACACTCTATGAATCCATATAATACCATGAGGCACAGAGAAAAGCTTTTCGGTCTTAAGCGCTCTGGGCATCCATTCTGGCAGCATGTCTCAAATTGACCCCCAAATGCTTTCCAGAGATGGGAGAGACTTGTGATTGGTAGATGCTGGGTGGCTTTTGGGCTGCTGTACACAGTTGTGATTTGGTGACTTATGCACCAGTGGTACAGTTTAGGGAGCTAGGAATCCTTCATTCTGTAGACCTACGTGTCCTAAAATAGTACTTTCTGTCTGAATAAGTAGGACAGGTCACTGGATAGTTTGTTTCCGACTTGTTAATGCCAGTCAAGTCTATGAACGTCTTCCAGCAATCAGCAAGACATTGACCAGCCCTTCTGGATGACACTCACAGGAGCTTGGACAGAGATTCAGGGAGATTATGAAGTTTTAAAAAGAAGCCACTGCATAAGTTGCCTTCTGCATCTCTTAACTAATGAAAATTCAGGAGTGAGGGATGTGTGTCGCTTGGTGATAGATCACTTGCTAACAAGCAGCGGGCCCTGGGTCCCCTTCCCAGCATTGCAAAATGAAAATTCAAATACCAGTGCTTACAGGTATAATCTTGAAAGTTTAGAAGAAATAAAGGAACTGGATAGTTTGCTGTTCTTAATTCACATCATGTGTTTGTATGTTCTTTTCAGACATATGAAGATTCATGAGAAAGACCCCAACAGTGCGACAACTGCAGCCCCTCCATCCCCTCTGAAGCGCAGGCGGCTGTCCTCCAAGAGGAAACTGAGTCATGACGCCGAGTCAGAGAGAGAAGACCCAGCACCTGCTAAAAAGGTCCTATCAGCTCCTGGCACAGACAGGCCTCAGTGTAGGGCTTTTAGCAAAAATACCTCTAATCTTTATTTTTGCAGTATGGGGACTTGGCAGGCATCCACCCTAGGCTTTTTAACCTGTGTTTTCCCACACTGTTTTTATAAAGGACTAAGAAAAGAACACCTGTATGTATTTCCTCTTTTAGCGCCCCTTGCTGAGCCGAGGAGTGAAATGAGGAACTTCCATACTTTTTACGTTTGCCGTCAAGCTAATAGGAAAGCTTTGTTAGCTTTGGGCCCCTCGCCCTTCTCCTTTGGTGGTCAGTGTTCTGCAGATGTTAAACACCCCCTAAGCACTGTCGAGGGCACGAAGGATGGAGGAGCAGTGGGCAGGCAGTATGTTGAGTGCATTCTGCTGTCTGAAGCGTGAGGGAGTGGACGGGCAGCAGGTTCTTCACTTTCAGGCAGGGAACACGTGCTTTTCAGTAGGAGCCTCTGTGTTGGCACTGGCCTCTCCTACGAAGCGCGTCCACAGGGGAGAGCACTTCGTAACTTTGCTCTCTTTTCTCCCCCAGATGGTGGAGGATGGACACTCAGGTGACTCAGAGAAGGCAGTTGATGAAGTCTTTCACTGCCCAGTGTGTTTCAAGGAGTTTGTTTGCAAGTACGGACTGGAGACCCACATGGAGACCCATTCGGATAACCCACTGAGGTAGGAGAGAAGGCGAGCTGGACCTGCGGGCTGGAAGACGCTTTTCGGTTTCCATCTCTTCTGGCATTTATGCTTCTTTGTCTTTGAGCCGCACCTTAGCAATCAGATGTGTGTATGAGACCTTAGTAAGCAGCTAAGAAATGCATAGTGCATGGAGGAGGGTCGGGCGGAGGCTCCCCAGGAGAGCGGGCTGCAGTTGCCGCTCCTGTTCCTTCCTGTCCAGTGAGCCCAGTGGGCAGTCCCCAGGGAGCTGTCCTGTCACAGAGCGGTTTTGAACGATGAACATAGTTTCTCCGTGCAAGGTATCACAACCCAAATGAGTGTCAACTTCCATGGACAAACGGTGCTGGGGAACTGTTTGTATGCTTCACGCCCAGCACAGAGCCAGACCTTTCTAGGTGTCTGGGCTGAACCGGACCCGTGGCATGGAAACCCAAAGTGTTGTGGGTAAGAAAGATTCTACCGAGTGAAGTAGGGTCTAGAGAGCTGCTTTAAACAGTGATTCTCCTGTTTATCTTTCATTTCTAGTCTTCTCAGCTCCAGTACTTGTGACCCGCAGTGGTGAACACAGATAGAAAGTCAGCTGTCCGATGGGATTCAGGGACAGGCCTGTCTTCTCTGCTTCCCTGCTGACTCTCACCAGGCAAAGCCCTGTGTTCTTGAACAGCAAAGTGTAGAGACTTTTCATACACAGTCACCACATTTAAAATGTTAGCGTACCAGTCGGACATGGTGGTAACCTCAGCACTCGGGAGGTTGAGGCAGGAGAATCTTCCAGTTGGAGGCTAGGCTAAGCTACATAGCAAGTTCAGGGCCAGCCAGGACTACATAATGAAACCCTGTCTAAAAAAAAGTTAGTGCTATTACTTTTAAGCTTTGATAAGAACTTACAACCATATGAGAGGGGAAAAAAAATACTAATAACCACCCAGGAGCCTCTCCTATAGCTGAAAGACTAGAAAGTTACTGGTCCTGAAAGTCACACATTGCTGAAGATTCATCCAAGCGCAGAGGGCAGGTCCTTGTGTGGCTTCTCAGAGGCGACTCAGGAGTACAGCAGTTTGGGCACCTGTTTGCCTGTGTCCCGATCTGTCGACTGTATTTCCTTCCCAAGGATGCAAGGTGACTTCTTGAGATCTGCACAAGGTGACTTCCTGTGCAGAAGGAAAAGCTTAACTGTACCCCGATGGGAGGTGACAGCCAGGATCATTATCCTTAACCACGTTAGCTTGATTGTTTTCAGTTAGGGGAGAGACAGAATTTATGGAGAAGCTAACCTGCTGAACCAATTAAAATGCTGTGAATGTCCTTACAGAACTGCTTAGTCTCAGGCTAAGAACTACTTGTTTGCCCCCTGGTAGGTAATTGGATCCCATAGAGGGAAACCCAGGGCTATAAGGATTTCTGAGCACCCACACCTGCACAGTGCAGTGTGCAGCAGTAGCAGCAGAAGGCCCCATGTCCCCTTGTGCCTCAAACTTGTGGTGAGGTGTGAGTTTCCAGGACTAGCGTCTGGCGAGGCCGGGTTCTCTGAAGGCAGACAGAGATGGGCACTGTGTTGAACACTGGTCGTGCTTCAGGTGCAGTTTGGTAGATGATTCGGCCTCCGTGGCTCCAGGGCCAGTGGCACAGATGGACCACGCGGCAGAAGCTCCAGCTGCCTGTCTGCTATTGAGCAGGGTTTCCCTCCTGGGCTCTATGCTGATGAGGGGGCAGCTCCTCGTAGCCTAGCAGGAGCTGGGCCTTCCTAGGTAGTCTTCACCCTGCTGACCCACAGCACTGACCATGGGGTTGGCAGTGATAGGAAGAAGGCTGGCATCCCTTGTGCGGACCAAGCAGGCAGCCCTGCCTCGTGGCTCTACCTAGTGACCACTGCAGTGTGTGGTGGGGATGGCATCTGGACATGAACAATTACCGAATGCAGTCGATTCCCCTTACCCCTCTCTGCTCTGCTGCTTTCAGAGGAGGCCTGTGGCAAGCGTGGGCCAGCAGGCCTGGCCAGGCTATGAAGGTGGCAGTGGTAGTGGGAGAGACTGCTCGTTAACCCAGAACTAAAATAGACACCGACTCCATTTTCAAGCCCCAAAGGCAGCAGAGCCACAGTGGGATGCTACCAGCTTAGGCAAAATGTCTAACTCAAAACAGCTGCTACTTTCTCTCTCCTGCCCCAGCCCCTCCCTACCGTCCCCACAAAGCTGGCAAGGTGCCTGTTGTTCTTTAAAAAAGTGTTGGAAATCCAAACTTGAGTACAGGCTGAGTCTATGTTCCTCTACTCTGCTGTGTTTCAAATTAACAAAGCGTCGGCCTCAAGCAAAAGGAAGGCACCAAGCCACTAGCAGAGATTCCAGCTCTCAGGGTCAGGCATTGTCAGCAGTCCCTTTCTTGTGGTTCCCAGATGGGGGCAGAGGCCGGGAAGGGAACCACACAAAGCCTGCAGATGCTGGCACCTGGAGGGAGGGCTGTGTTCACGGAGCAGGTGTAGCAGGGTATGGCAATGCATGCCTGCAATCCCAGCTGTTTGGGGAGGTTGAGGCAGGAAGATTCCAAGTTCCAGGCCAAAGTGGGCAACTTAGCAATACTATCTCAAAATAAAATTTAAAAAGTGCTAGGAATGTAGCACTGACAAATGTGAAGCCCTGGCCTCAAGTTTCAGTAACCCGTGAGCATCTCTGTGTGGGTGCTGGACAAGGGAGGTCTTGCTCACTTGTTAGATTCGAGCAAAGAGGTAAGCTGTCCACTGCTAGGAGGTCCAGCCAGGCCAGCGCAGCATTGGCCCTGCCATCTTTTGAAATCTTCTATAGCCTCATTTAAAAAACTGTCACAGAGGCTGGGGGTGGGTGAAGCTCAGTGGTAGAGCATGTGCACGCCATGTGTGAGGCCCTGGGTCTCAGCCCCATGCAGAAAAGAAACAAGCAATATTAACGCTTTAGGTGATTATCATACTGCAGTAGTCAAAATAGACTGTCAGCATGCCCGGTACATAAAGTGTCAGTGATGCTAAGTTTTACGTTCTTGCTGTCCTAGGCCTTGAATGCCAGTTCATGTGGCATTGTCACAGACTCCCTTGTCATGAGCTCAGCAGCCCACAAATGGGCTGGGTGGTAACCCCAGTGTTCTTTGTGGGTGACTGTTCCCCTGGCATGAGCTGAGAGGGCAGAAGCTGGGGTCACTGTGTTGATGAAGCAGCTGCCAGAGGCAGGCCCTGGCCTGAGTTACTGTATAATCTTAGGTGGCTTTTTGATTAAAGAAGATCAGGTAATAAGTAATTTTAACACTATTTCAGTTAAAATGTACCCAGCAAATGACAGAGTCCTCATTTTGATCTGACTAGGCTTGAGAAAAACTGATGTTTGAGCCACAGGCCCCTGGCTGCTCAGAAGGCAGCAAGGGAAATCTGGGGTATAGGGGCCCTTGCCTCTGGCCAGGTCCAGGGGTTGCTGTGCCCAAAGCACCTGCTGCAAACCCCACTCCCAGGCTTCCCACTCCAGGTTGAGGCCCCTTGCTCAGGGCAGGATTACCTCCCAGGTGATTCTAACCTTTGTCTCACTTGGTGCCCTCCATTCCTTGTAGGAATGAGCACAGGGGAAACCCTGGAAATCTGGCCTGGTGAACTGGCTCCTGGAGATGCCAGGACCTTCTTTCTGCTCATTCTTGGCTATTCTGAGGGTCCTTGGGCTCCCTTCTCTGCATGTCCTACACCTGTAGGGAATCCTTGACATTCTCCACAAGGCCTCGGCCTTGCACTTGGCGAATGTTATCCTGAACCAGGACACCCTGTTAGTGTCCAACTTGGGGCTCAGCCAGGGGAAGCACGCTTCAGTTGACACCAGCATCCGAGGACGGCAGGCAGAGGTCCCAGAGGAAGACACCAGCTCATGTGGTGCCTGTGCCCACTCCTTGGCTGCCCCCGTGAAGCCCCTAAAACTCAATCCCCCTCTTCTCGGCCCTCACCAGCCCGGCGGGTTCCTAGGGCACAGGGCAGCAAGGCCTCCCACCCAGGGTTGTCACAGGGTAGTCACCGCTGCTCACAGCAACTGGGAGAGATTAGTGCAGCTGTGGGTGTCAGTTCCCTGCACTGGCCAGGATGGGCGGGAGGGTGGGCTGAGGGGCAGGAATGTCTGCGCCAGGTGGGGCTCCAAGGAGGGATTGTTTGCACTCACTCCTCCTGGCTCTGGAGATAGAGCAAGAAAAATGAAGCATGAAATCCCTTTTAAAAGGAATGCTGGTCTCTCAAAGCACTATAATGAGCGAGGGATTCGGTGTCTCGGCAAGCGGCCTACAAGTTGCAGCCTCCTGGCAGGTGTATTTCTCAGGTTCTGCAGAGCAGCATGCTGCTGGGAGTGGGAGTGGCGGTCGGGAATGCACTTGGCTGAGCCAGTGCTGAGCCAGTGTCCGGGCACAAAGGATGCGATGCAGGTCATGTAAGGAGCCGAGCATGTGCTGCCTAGCATCTCTGTGACTTTGGACAGTGGAGGCTCAGTCTGCCCATCCAGAAAATAAATTCGAAGACTTCTGAGAATAAAGGGGTTCATCCGGCCCTGGGACTTCAAGAAATACTAAGTGAGCTTTTCTTCTGATACTGTTATTTAGATCACATCTCTTTTTCACTGTTTTGAGCCTTCCACCATTCACAGTGAGGATTTGACTATGGCCCTTGGCTATCCCACTGCAGGCAGATGCAGGAGTCCCCAAGTCCTGCTGACTTACAGAGGACATGAAAGCACTGTGTCCTTTACTCTTTATTTTTACAAAGAACCGTATTCATCAAGCTTTACTTTTGTCAGGATTGGGAAACTGAGTGCTATTTCAACTCAATCTGAGTCCTGTCCTCCTCCAGCCTTGAGTTTCACAATCCTGCCGAACTGTGTCGGAGGCCGCCGATGGAGCTTGAAGGGAGCTGACATCTTTAAAATTAGAGCAACACATCGTTTTGTTAGGTCACTGGGGAGGCCTGGGGGTTTAAAGAAATGAGTTTCCTAATGTTTCAAAGTTGCCAGTGTCATCTTTTGAAAATACACTTTATGTAGTTTAAAAAAAAAAAAAAAAGTAACCCTTTCTTGCTGATTGGGGCTGGAAGACAGGGAGGTCCACAGTGGTGCTCTGCAGTGCAGGGAAGCCACACGGGGACCCCTGAGTGGTTCACTTCTTTAGTCTGGCTCCTGTGTCAGGCTCTTTCTGTTGCCTTCAGGACTTTCATCTTGTTCTAGAGAGTAAAGTTACCCAATGAAAAAAGTACTCCTGTCACAGGCACAGAGGGAACTGATTCTAAAATTGTTTTGCCAGAAAGTTGCGGGGCAGGGGGTAGATGTGGCACATGCCTGTAATCCCAGCTACTTAGCAGGCACGAGGAGTGCAAGACCCTGTTTCAAAATTAAAAATAAAGAAAAAGTGGCCCGGGATTTGATCCCTTTGTACAGCAGCAACAAAACTCGAAAGCACAGGGAGGAGGAGGAAGGAAGCCAGGAGATCCTAAGGGTCAGCCTTTCCATGTCTGTGAACTATGCTGCTGCTGAGTTTGCATGGGGTTGGCTCCCACCCTGGGTATATATGCCCATGCCCCTCACCTCATCGTGGGGCTTCCCGGGAGGGTATTGGGGAACCACTCCAGGTTGCAGCACTGGCATGCAGTTGGCCTTTCAGGGAGATGCTTCTAACAGTGACCGGTATCTCTGGTGCATGCTATTTCCCGCTGTGGGCTCTCTCAGGCTGGTCCTTTCACCCTTCTTCAAGGATCTTTACCATACATAGCAGCAGGTTTTTCTGCTGCATTTCCACTCCAGCCCAGCATGGAGCCATTTTTTTCTGTTTGCTTTGTTTTTTTTTTTTTTTTTTTTTTGTTTGTTTGTTTCCCAAACAGGATGTCGCTATTAAGTCCCTTTCTTTAAAAAATCAATGAGTATAAATGGATATCGCCTTCCGAGGTCATTTGCTGTCTAAGGATGGGTGTCTCAGTGCCCTTCTGAGTAGGTGTGCAGTGGCACCGGAACTTTTTTCATCGTTCCTCTTGTTTCCTCAGACTGAGACCCAAGTTTCAACAAAAACATTATTTCTTGCATTAAAATCTTCTGAGAATTGAAAGGACAAATGTCATCTAGCAAATGTTTGTCTCCTTGACCTGTGGGAGCTGCTTGGCTCCTCCACTGCCTTGGTGACCCCAGGCGTGACCAAGTGGTGGCTTGCAGGTTGGTCTAACTTGAGGACAGAATGGAGGTCGCCAGCTGCTCTGAGTGGCAGGCTTCCGATCTGCATCTTAGCACTAAGCTCTTTCTAGCCTGGCCCGAGTATGGTAGGACTGTGCTTATCTGATTTTGGAGGAGTAACAGGTGTCACAGATGTCAGGAGAACCTTTTGTTTGTGTTTGTGTGCATACATGCGCGGTACCAAGGACTGAACCCGGTGCCTCTCACATGTTAAGCAAGCATTTTACCATTGAGCTGCACTGCAGCCCAAAAAGCTAGTCCTACTGTGGCAGGGACTTCCTGTGCTTGTCCTGACAACAGAAAGGGCTTCTAAGCTCAAATGGAAGCTTTGTGATCACAGTCCCCATCCTGCTTCTGTGACTTTACACATCAGCAATCTCCACGAAACCTGTGGCCACCCCTCATGCCACTGGCGGATGTTTCTGGCCATGGAACCCCCTCCAGCCCCAGACCTCTGTCTGTGTTTCACTCCCATCTAGTACTCCTCAGTGACTATGCAAGGGGTGCTGAGGATGACTAGAAGAGAGAAGATAAGCCATGGGCAGCTGCTGGCCCTCTACAGTTCCAAAGAGCCCTCCGACTTTGTGTACTCCAACACTACAGACCCCCGGCTCCCTACCCCCAAGAACTGCTAGAGTCCTCACCTAGCCTCAGGGGCAGCCCTGCTGACTTGAAGTTGGGGGCTGGGGTATCACGAAAGTGAGCAGTGGCCAAATCCATGCCCGGATTCTCAAACACATTTTTTCCTACAGAAATTTAATGTGTGCTGGAATGTGGATGGTTTCTGGGTGGATCTGTGCACTGCGCCACGCACAGAATGCTGTTCTGTGGGCACAGTGCTTTGGAGCGCAGCATACTGAGCCCAGGTGAGCCAGGCATCTGTCTGTAACCATCACTGGAAACTGTCTGCCAGAGGGTTTTCCACTGACGAGCTGTTGTTTTTGTTTTGTTTTGTTTTCCTGAGGGTAATCTATTTCAATATGATTTTAAAATAAAGAGGAAGTTTTGTTTTTAGAAGGAGGTGTCAGTGAGGTTCCGTTAGCTTCCTTAGATTCTGCAAAAGACAGTGCCCCAAATACGTGAGTCCTACTGACAGCAAAGTCGGTTTCCCCTTGGGAAAATTACCCTGAGTTTCCAGTGTGGGGCCATCTCAGTTGCCAGAAAATGGAAAGGCGGGCTGTCAAGACTTGTCAGATTTTCCCCTGGCACATTGTCAAAATCTCTTGCAAAATGAAATTGACCTACAGCACTCCCCTCTGCTGTGACCCTCTAATTGGAGTTCTACCTCGTCTAAATATTTTGCAATCCTTCTCTCTGACGAGTCCCTGGCAAAGCTGAAAAACCTCACAAATGGGGGTGCAGAGAGTTCAGAGACCCCCTTCCCCACCTGTACCCCTAATGAAGCTTAACAAGCCCCAGCCAGGTGGCACCATCCCTCTGATAGCTGGGCCTGCTGTGGGCTCTGCACTCTGCAACCTGGAGCACAGATTCCCAGTGGCCCCACTGTCCTTGAACTGCTCCTTAGAAACAAGGGTGCAGAGTGTTCCCAAGCCTTGGGAGGTCTGGCTGGGCCCGGTGTCTGCCCATATCTCTGAGTGATGGATTTTCATGTTGGTTTAAGGGCCATCAGCAGGTGTGGGGCAAGGAGGCAAGTGTTTTTCTGTGGGTGTTTCTCTCTTTTAACCAACCTAGCAGTAAGCTTTTCATTTCAAAGCAGAATGGGTATTTTCAGAAATGCAACAGAAGCTGGATATGGCAGTGCCTGCTGGTTGTCCCAGCGATTCAGAAGGCTAGGGCCTGGGCGGCACAGCAGAGACCCTGTCCTGGGAGCAGGTAGACTGAGAGCCCAAGGAGATGGAGGTGCGAAGTGTGGATCTGGACCTCACCTTAGACGCGGAGGCACCAGGCCCATGTCAGACTGGGAGGACACGTCGTTCTCTGGGAGCTGAGGCTCCCGGGAGCTGGCAGGGTCAAGGAAGAGGTATAGAGCAGAGGCTCCACAGAAGCAGCATGCACTTCACCCCATGTGTATCAAGATTAAACCAAAGTACTGGGGCCCATGGGGAGGCTCTGGAATAAAAAAGAAAACACACTGGAAATTAAAACCCCACTTTTCCTGCATTTGCATGTTTACTAACATGTGCCAGGAAATCAGCTTTTCCAGGTTTCGTTCTTCCCTGCAAGATAAAATAATTGTTAAATGTGGAATAGTGCCTTGGGGTTCCAGACATTTCATCGTCTGGTGTTCGAGTTGACCCTGGAGATCCCCATCCCAGGTGAGAAGGGAAGCAGGTATAGAAAGGGGACAGGTTACAAAGGTAAGATCCTCCAGGGCCTCATGCACTCATAGCTGCAGGTGTTCTAGGGTCTAGTGGCTTGTTTTTGGATTTGCCTCAGTGTGAGGCATCCCCTGGTGTGCTCTTTTAGGCCGGTTTCCAGGCCTGCCCTCTCCCTGCACTTCCTCGATAGGCCTGAGCTGTGGTGAGGCATCTACTCTCTGAAGAGAGTCACAAGGGCACTCTCCCCCCGACATATTTGGGTGGTGTTACATAAGTTGTCCAAGGTCACCCCACATGCTGATTTCTCCTGCCCCTGTGTCTGGGCCCTGTCCCAGCATGCACGCACACGCACGCACTGCCCCTCGGCCCTCCCTAAGACACAAAACTTGCAAGTGGTGCTGGGAGCCCTTGCCAAGTGTCACTGAGCGAGGCTGCTGTGCAGCTTCATGACAAGGGCACAAAGTGGGTTGGTACAGACACATCTCTCCTGGTCTTTTCAACCCAGGCTTGGTTGTGGATGCGGAAGGCCCAGCTGCCCAGTTGACTCTCACTGCTTGTGTTGGTTGCATTCTGTGAAGTCACTGTAAACAGAATTAGCAAACACTGAGTCACTGGTCCCCAGGAAAGTACGGGCTAAGTTCCTTGGTGCTTCTCGTCTCCTTTCCATCAGCTGATCAGCACATAGCTTGTTTTATTTATGTTTCTGTTGTGCCTCCTGCTTGCTCACCTGCTTGTTTTAGTTTCTTGAGACATGCTCTTGCTGTGCCAGCCAGGCTGGCCTTGAACTCCCAATCCTCCTGCCTCAGCTTTAAGGATGCTGGGATTACAGGGGTGTGTTGCCATGCCTGGTTTTACATTTCTGTGTGGACACCTTTATTCATATGCTATTGACTTGTTAACCAAGCTCATGGCCTGCACCAGTGAAAGTTGTGCTTGAACAAAGCCTCTCTAATACACGGACTACTCCGGGCAGTACAGCAGAACCCCTTGTGCTCAGGACACTGGACAGCACTTGGAGCTCAGCAGCCACCAGGGATATAGTCCCTTCGAGGGTGCACCTTAGGGCGGGGCGGGGGGGGTGGGTTCCAGCCAGAAGAGATCCTGCCCAGGGCAGCTGTGTCCATGCTGCTTCCCCACTTAACACTGTCAGCTCCTGAAGACTTGCACTGGGCAATGGGTAGAGGAATTATCCCTGTGGCAGGGAGTCTGTCCGCTAGGACACTCCCTGCTTTGGGAGGTACAAATCACACCGCCTGCACCCATGGCTCAAGCACTTCTAGCCCCTAAGGTCTTCTAGGTTGTCTGAATTCATCCCCTCCCTGGGCTTGGCCACAGCTGGGGAACTCAGCAAAATGCCCACCAAAGAGTGCTGTTTCAAGTGGTCCATGAAAGCTGGTGTTCTAAATGTAGTTGTATGATGACAGGAATCTCACTGGAGAGCTGTCCCATGCACAGAAGGCAGGAACACAGTGGCCATACACTAGGACTGTGTTCCACTGTGCCCTACCACGACATGATGAAGCAGCACACACCAGACACTTCTGTCTTTTAGCACTTCAGCAAAGTGATTTCATTATTATCTTTATTCTCAGAGAAGAATTTCAGAACCAAAAACAGTTTCCATTAAAGAATGTGCAGTGTAGCTAGGTGTGCATTGCTTTACCTCTCCAGAAATCAGTGGGAGGAAGGCTACACATGGAAGGATGCTTGGTACACAGGGCTCCCACCCTTCGGGCAGAATGCCCAATCTGCCCTGCCTCAGTTGAGCCCAAGGACAGCAGACTACTGTGAACCAGGAATTTTAATAGTCACTCTACACAGATCTGGTGGCTTTATTTAGAACAGGTCCAGGCATGCTGATAACATGAGTCCTGCATCATTTTTCAGTGGTTCTTACAAAGACTAGAGGCTGGCACCGGTAGGAAAAGTAGAAACTGTTCTATCAAATGGCGTTTACGCCACCTCTGTGGTCCAGAACATTTTGGGATGCCAAAGGCCATCTCTAAATGGAGAGTCATGACGTCTAGGTAGAAGTCATTTGTGGGAGTCTGTGGAGGAAGGGACGCAACCTTGGCACAGGTGAGCACAGGAGCAGGGACTCAGCCTTTGCTTCCTTCCTCCTGTCTGTCACACCAAGAAGAGTCGTTGAGCCTCATGTTTCATCCTTACAGGAGGCTGGTGACACCCACTCACCTGCCACCACTGTGCAAATGGCCATGGCAGGGCCTCGTGCTCACTGTGGCTCAGGATATGGGAAGGCACTCACTGGGTATAGGGGTGCACACCTGTGTCCCATATTCAAGAGGCTGAGGCAGGAGGATTGTTGTGAGTTCCAGGCCAGCCTGAGCTACATGGTGAGTTCAAAGCCAGCCTCCACTACATAGCACGACCCTGCCTAAAAAAAAAAACCCAACAACAAAAAAGGTGAGAAGTGCAGGCAGTTTTCAGATAATGACAGTAATGATGCCAGAACTGAATGCACAGGGATGGCATTTGCTACCAATTCAGGCAGGTCATTTAATTCTTTTACCTGTAGCAGAGGCCAGAGGCCTATGTGCTGCCGGTCGCTGTAGGCACTACAGCAATGTCTGCTTTGTTGCCACTTAAACATTTACAGTAACTGCGTCTGGTGAGTGGGGGAAGGAGAAAACCTCTGGTAGCACAGGCAGGTCACAGCACTGGTCTGTGGTGGCGACTGTGGGTCCCAGCTCCCTTCCCTTCCCCTTTGGTCCTAGGCACCTCTCCTACTGCCTGCCAAGATCCGGTGCCCAGAGTTGGCAGAGTGTCATTCATAGCATGAATTAAAAGGCAGCATGTTTGGTGCTGCCCAGGAGCACAGCAGCTTCCTGCTGTCTCATTTCCATGCGTCCCGGGGAAATGAAGGCACGGTGCTAAGCTAAGGGGCAAGTGGAAGCCCAGCAGAGCCTCCTTCTTGAATCTTCGTCTCCCCCTTGTCCTAGATGTGACATTTGCTGTGTCACCTTCCGAACACATCGAGGGCTGCTGCGCCACAACGCACTTGTCCACAAGCAGCTTCCCCGGGACTCGATGGGAAGACCTTTCATCCAGAACAACCCTTCCATTCCTGCGGGCTTCCACGACCTAGGATTCACGGACTTCTCCTGCAGGAAGTTCCCTTGTATTTCTCAGGTATTCTGACTGGCTCAGTCCACTCAGGTGGACTGAACTCCATCACTCTGAAGTTCCCTTTGCCTAAGATGTTATCCATTGAATTTTATCTTTTTTATAATCTCCTTTCTCATGAATTTTGAGCACAGTTTGGGCATTGTAGTGAGACCTTGTCTCCAAATTTTTTTTAAATGGGCTGGGGATAGAGCTCAGTGGCACAATGCCTGCCTGACAAATGAGAGACCCAAGTTCGATTCCTGGTGCCAAATTTTTAAAAGAATTTAAAAGGACCAAGGACATAGATTAGTGTGAAGATCCTGGGTTCAATCCCCAGGACAAAAAAATATAAAGAATTAAAAGACATCCACTTGGCCCTTTCTGTCTCCTTTGGGTGTCAGGTTGGGAGGATGGGTGACGTGGGTCTGGCTCCTTGGTGCTTTTTGCTATTCTTGGCATTTGGGAGCTAGAGTATGAATTGTTTACCACCTGCCACGGTAATTAGAATTCATATGTTTAATCTTTCATTAGTGTCTACATGCATGTTTTAGCGTTGCAGTGTCTGTTAAAGGAGCCAGTTTGGAGGCTGGGGGCATAGAGCAATAGAGCCCCAGGTTCTGTCCCCAGCACCACCACCACCCCCAAAAGAAAAGATTTAGATCATTTTTTTGTTTGAACAAGGAAAGAACCATCCTTGTTGTCTGCTCACAAAGACCCTGCTAAAAGTGTTTTGAAATTGTCTTTCTAGTTTGTAAAGTTGACATAAACATACAAGCTTCATGTGTGTGGATTTTCCTGCATGTATAGACCTGTGAATCACAGGTATCACCTCCCTGGCAGTGTCCCCTTCCTCAGTCACAGAGGGGGCCATTCTCCCCTCTCTGTCACCATCAGCAGTGTCACACACCCATTTCTAAAAAGAGGAAGGACTGTGCCTCTGTGGCATGGCCTCGTTGGCCCCCTGCACGGTGGTGCAGGGAGGACATGGTTTTTTCCATGCTTTCTGGTCTCACCGCTTCAGCCCCAAGGCAGCGATCACAGGAAGATCAGTCCTCTGCTCCTATGTTAGCAGAGAAAGGCTGCACATTGGCACTACTGTGCCACAGATGCTTCCCTTTAATGCTTCTGTTTAAACCTTTGCCTTTTTTTCCTGCTTCTGCCCTCTGGTTCCCTGCAGGCCTGGTGTGAGACAAATCTTCGGAGGTGCATCAGCGAGCAACACCGCTTTGTCTGTGACACCTGTGATAAGGCATTCCCCATGCTCTCTTCACTCACCCTGCACAAACAGACCCATGTCACCATGGACCAGGGCCAGGAGAAGCTGCAGGCTGACATCCTGGCCGGCGACATGCTGGAGCAGAAGGTCTTCCTGGCCTTGCTGGGCCTGCAGCACACCAAAGACGTCAGGCCCGCGCCCGCTGAGGAGCCCCTGCCAGATGATAACCAAGCAATACAGCTCCAGACACTCAAGTGTCCTCTACCTCAGGATGCCAGCTGCGCCAACATGCTGAGCCTGTCTCCTTTCGAAGCTGCCTCCCTGGGCAGTTCCCTCACTGTGCTCCCGGCCACCAAGGAGGGCATGAGGCATCTGTCCCTGCAGCCCTTTCAGAAGGGCTTCATCATCCAGCCAGACAGCAGCATCGTGGTCAAGCCCATCTCCGGGGAGTCGGCCCTGGAGCTGGCAGACATCCAGCAGATCCTGAAGATGGCAGCGTCTGCGCCCCCACAGATCAGCCTCCCCCCACTCTCCAAGGCCCCCGCCACCCCGCTGCAGGCAATTTTCAAGCACATGCCCCCGCTGAAGCCAAAGCCCCTGGTCACGCCCCGCACGGTGGTGGCCACTTCCACGCCCCCGCCGCTCATCAATGCGCAGCAGGCCTCCCCGGGCTGCATCAGCCCCAGCCTCCCGCCACCACCGCTGAAGCTCCTGAAGGGCTCAGTGGAGGCGGCCGCCACCGCCCATCTGCTGCAATCCAAGTCTGGGGCACAGCCAAACTCAGCCCCGCAACTCTTCCTGCAGCAGCCGCGCCCAGAGCTGCCCGGCCAGCCCGAGATGAAGACACAACTCGAACAGGACAGCATCATCGAGGCCCTGCTGCCACTGAGCATGGAGGCCAAGATCAAACAGGAGATCACAGAGGGCGACCTCAAGGCCATCATGACGGGCCCTGGCGGCAAGAAGACCCCCGCCATGCGCAAGGTGCTCTACCCCTGCCGCTTCTGCAACCAGGTGTTCGCCTTCTCAGGGGTCCTGCGCGCGCATGTGCGCTCACACCTGGGCATCTCCCCCTACCAGTGCAACATCTGTGACTACATTGCCGCCGATAAGGCCGCACTCATCCGCCACCTGCGCACGCACAGCGGCGAGCGGCCCTACATCTGCAAGATCTGCCACTACCCCTTCACCGTGAAAGCCAACTGCGAGCGGCACCTGCGCAAGAAGCACTTCAAGGCCACGCGAAAAGACATCGAGAAGAACATCGAGTACGTGAGCAGCAGCACAGCCGAGCTGGTAGATGCCTTTTGCGCGCCCGACACTGTGTGCCGGCTCTGTGGTGAGGACCTGAAGCACTACCGCGCCCTGCGCATCCACATGCGCACGCACTGCGGCCGTGGCCCGGGCAGCGGCCACAAGGCACGCAAGCCCTTTGAGTGCAAGGAGTGTGGTGCTACCTTCACCGCCAAGCGCAACTGCGTCCACCACATCCTCAAGCAGCACGTGCACGTGCCGGAGCAGGACATTGAGAGCCACGTGCTGGCGACGGGCAGCACCGAGGCCAGCACGGAGGCCCCGGGGCGAGGGGAGGAGGGCGGCTGTGCGGCCTTTGGAGACTACAAGCCCCTTGCTGCTTTCCTGGAGCCGCACAACGGCTTTTTGCACGGAGGCTCCACTCAGCCGCCCCCTCCCCATGTGGCGGTCAAGCTGGAGCCGGCCAGCAGCTTTGCGCTGGACTTCAACGAGCCCCTGGACTTCTCTCAAAAGGGCCTGGCGCTGGTGCAGGTGAAGCAGGAGAGTGTGTCCTTCCTGAGCCCTTCCTCTCTGACCCCCTACGACTGCTCCATGGAGCCCATCGACCTGTCCATCCCCAAGAACTGCAGGAAAGGAGACCAGGACGCAGCTGCTCCTGGGGAAGTCAAGAAGCTGGAGCAGGAACCGGGAAGCCCTGAGCAGCTGGCTTCCTGTCTGCAGCCCTGCTCAACGCTGCCGCCAACTTTGGGGCCCAGCGGGATCCTAGAAAGCCCCACTACTGCTGTGGTAGCGGCCACCACGGCCACCTCCCTGGACCCCCATGCCCAGCCCCTCCAGGGCTCTGTGCAGCTGACTGTACCCATCTACTCCTCGGCCCTCGTCAGCAGCTCTCCCATCTTGGGCAGCTCTGCCCTCCTGAGCAGCCCAGCGTTGCTACGGCCCCTGCGGCCCAAGCCCCCGCTTCTCTTGCCAAAGCCCCCAGTGACGGAAGAACTACCCCCGCTGGCCTCTATCGCCCAGATCATCTCATCCGTGTCCTCAGCCCCCACCCTGCTGAAAACCACCAAGGTGGCCAACTCAGGGCCCTTGAGCTCCAGCAGTAGTGAGGCAGCTGTGGACAGCTTAGGAGGTGCCGTCCCCAGAGCTGCTGCCACCCCCACTGACATCACGAGCCCAAAGGAGTCCGGGGAGCTGCCTCCTGTGGCCAGCAGCCCAGAAGCGGCTTCCCCCACTGAGCAAGGCCTGGCCAACTCCTCCAAGAAGCGGGGCCGAAAGAAGGTGATGAGGAGCCGGCCCTGTGCCCACAGCAGTGGGGTGGACCTAGACTCCAGCGGGGAATTCGCCAGCATCGAGAAGATGCTGGCCACCACAGACACCAATAAATTCAGCCCGTTTCTGCAAAGTGCAGAGGACGATGCTCAGGAGGATGGGCCCGGGGGCGCAGCTGACCCCCACGGGCCCAGCGATGAAGAGCAGGTCGGGCCGCCCGAGGACAAGCTGCTGAGAGCAAAGCGGAACTCCTACGCCAGCTGTCTGCAGAAGATCAGCTGTCCCCACTGTCCCCGGGTCTTCCCGTGGGCCAGCTCCCTGCAGAGGCACATGCTCACACACACTGGTAAGAGGCCTGCTTCCTGTTGGTGCCCTGAGCCAGGAAGGGGAGGGGAGCACAGAGGTGGAAGGGGCAGGGCCCACACATTCTGGCTTCTGTGAGTCTCGGAGCCAGGGGTGCTCTGATTTCCCCCCTGTTCATCACGCCCATGCTGACCTGTGCCAGTGATCTGAGCCCCAGGGTGAGGTACTTGCAGGCAAAGGTGGTCCTAGCCTGAAGGGGTTACCCCCTACACACAGCCCCTCCACCCCCTCCAAGGCCCCAGACCTTCCTCAGGGCTAGTGGGGGGAGCAGCGCCAGAGAAGTGGGACTTTGAACCCAGATGCTGAGGTGTGGTGAGTTCAGTGCTGGGCAAGAACACTGTCTTGGGGTCAAGGCAGCTTTTTAAATTCCAAACATGGTGAAGTTTTTTTGGCCACCCTGTGCCTTGGTAAAGGGAAATACTGCAAATGTAATACTGGCCATGTTCTTTCAGTTCACTAAGCCGGGTGCACATCGTTTATTTTGAAAATTGGTGATGGATTATATCTTTATGCTAGTATCATCAGCTCTTTCAGAGAAACCCTCCCAGTAATGACTGAAAGCCTAAATAAGGTATTTAAATTTAAAGTGATGTACCAAAAGAATTTTTCAGGTGCTAGTTTCTGTAAGTTGAGTTTCAAAGATAAGTTTAGCATTTAGAATATGTCATCAGTAATTTTATGCCAGCGCACACCATGCATTTTAATTACAATTTTCTGTGTATTTGGTTTACATCATTGCACTAAGTCATTGGAGTAAGATCTCTGCCTGTCTGGAGTTTATGACCCAAACATTAACAGATAAGACTAGAAACCAAGCTGTGCTGTCCACACAGTACAGATCTGCCGCAGGAAATGAAAATGCGGTCACTGTTAAATTCGGAATTCAGATAGCAAGTATTTTGTCCTAAACCCTTTCTGTGAAGTGTTTGGAAAAGACTCAGTGTTACTTGTTGCCAGCCCAAGGTCAGTGTGGTGGGTACCCCATTTTGCCAGGCTGTGTCCACCAAGGAGGGGGAGGAGCAGGCGGCACCTGGGCAGGGGAGGGGGCACAAGCCACGGGTTGCAGCTGAGAGGCTGGAGGCTCTGTCCACTGCCCCAGGGCCAGAGGTTGCCACCTAGCTGGGGCGTCTGTTCCTGGCGGTGAAGCCTGGACTCCAAGAATTAAGTGGTGCTGGTCCAGGTCCCTGAAGCACAGCCTGCCTTTTCAGGCTCCTTTTCTTTTCACTGAAATAATTTAAACTTAAGCAGGCTAGCAGTGCCCAGGAACACAGTGATTCCAAGTCAGTGCCTCGCCTGGCAGTGTCTTTTGCTGCCCTTTTCGTTACTTGCAGGGTCTTTGGGGAAATAGTTCTGCCACCACTTCTTACCCACAGATCCTCTTGACCCGGGCCTTCTTCGCCTCCACTCCCCCCAGCCTCGGTCCCTGGCCTCCTGGTCCCTCCTCCAGCTTGTTCTGGGCTGTGTAGATTTCCTTCTGCGCGGCCACATAGCCTCGGGAGCTTCTGTTCCCAGCAAGCTGATGGCTTCCTCTTCCTTTCAAGCACCGGGCTGGAAGGAAGGGAGTCTTGCCAGCACCTGACACATGTTCCCTGCGTGTTCCAGTTGGGGTTTCCTGACTCTGGGGTGCCCAGTGAGTGTCATTGGTTTAAAATTCGGTGTCCTAGCCAGGTGTGGTAGCTCATGCCTGTAATCCCAGCAATTGGGAGGCTGAGCCAGGAGGGTTGTTACGAGTTTGAGACCAGCCTGGGCTACAAAGTGAGCTCAAGGCCAGCCCGAACTGCACAGTGAGACCCTATCTCAAAAAGACAAAAAAAAAAAAATAAAATAAAATAAAATAAAATTAGGTGGTTTCCAGACCTAAGCAAGGTGAGCGGAGGCTTCCTCACACATGCTCTTCATGGCTACTGAGGATCCAGGTAGACTGGGCCTGCTACCTGCAGCCTGTCCTGTCTGCTCTAACACAAGAGCTCCTTAGACCCAGGGCTCCAGGCAATCCTGACCCTACCACAGGAGACCCCAGGCCTGGGGAGGCTGACATGCCTCTGCCCAGGGGCAGGCTCCCTGCAGCAGCTAAGATCAGGGAACCTGTGACCACCTGGGCCTCCCTGAGGCATCCCTTGTCCTCACACATCGGAGTCCTGAAGCCTGGGAAGCAGTGGAGGACCGGGCGAGCACCGCTGAGTCCCAGTGCTGTTGGTTCGGGTCTTCAGTGGCCCAGGGCTGCTTCCATTAGCTTCCTTTGTTGGGCACCACTGTCTGGCATTTTTTTTTTTTTTAATCAGTGCTGGGGCTGTATTCTGCGCTTCTGAACTGAGCCGCATCCCCAGCTAAGTTTTCTTCAGCAGCAAGGACAGGCTGAGTGTAAACTTGTGGCCTCCTGTCCCAGCCCCTCAGAGTGCTGGGGTTGTCACCAGGGTGCAGCCTTTCAAGTGTGGTTTACATCTAGCTGACAGCATCCCCCAGGAGACTGAGGCAGAAACGGGGGAGTCACTTTAGGCCAGCCTGGGCAAATGAGTTACAAGTCCCTACCTCAAAAGAAAGCGATAGCTGGGTTCCAGTCAGCAGCACCAAGTGGCTAAGGGTCTGCTGCACGAGTTCCACAAACTGCCTGTATCCTGCAGCTCAGTCGCTGCGCTCTCAGCAAACTGTGCAGTCACCCTGTGTCTCTGCGCTGCCCCACACTTGGCCCCAGCCTGCCACAGGGCGGCAGGAGGCCAGGTGTAGGGTGCTGTAGAGTGTGCGGTGGGCCCTTTTTTTCCTGGCACCAAGTCCAGGTACTTATCTGAGGAGGAAGCTGCCCTTGTGGGCTGTCACCTTTCACGTCCCCTGGCAGGGTCTCCACGCACCTGCCTCCCTCCTGCCACTCTCGGATGCTGTCCCAGCCCCAGCTTCCCTGTCGGTGGGGACGGCTCCGGGCTGGTAGCACACTATTCCTGCCAGGACTCCTCTCTCACCAGCATCTTGTCCTGTGTCCCTCGAAGCTCTGGCCTCATCTTCTTCCTCCTTCCCTCAGTTCCCTTCCTGTCCCCCAGAGACAAGGCCTCGGGACATCGCAAGTCCCTGCTGGTTCTGGCATTTTGGATTCCCCACTGGCCTGCTTTCACGTGGGTACCTGGAGCTCCTTTTCTTTGCCAGTTGGGGGTCTTCCTCCTACCTACTCCTAACAGGAAATCAGAGTCAGATTTTAAGTAAGAACCAGTGTGGTGACTCATGCCTGTAACCCCAGCTGTATTAAGAGACTGGGGCAGGAGGATCACAAGTTGAAGGCTTCCCTGAGCAACTTAAGATCTTGCATCAAAATAAAATTTTAAAAGGGCTTGGAGTATAGCTCAATGGTAAAATGCCTGCCTAGCATGCATGTGGCCCTGGGTTCAATTCCTAGTGCCACACACAAAAAACATTGAAATTAGTAAGCTGCCCTTCTGTAAGTATGGGAAGCACCTTAGAAACCAGCTGTATTTTATTTGGCTGCTTTTAATTTTCTTAAGTGGCAGCTTTGACCTCCTTAGCCCAGCCCTGTGTACACCTCTGCAGACATGGGCGAGAAGGAAATACCAAAAGGAAGACACCTTCACCTTGAGGGGGAGGAGTGGCGAGGGGAGCTGGCTCCGTGTGTGTCGTGGTCCCCCCGCCTCGAGCTGTGAGTGAGCACAGGTGTTTCCAGGGTCATGCGCAGGCTTGCCAGGAGAGACCGCTGCTCTCCTGAGGTTAGAGCTCAGTAGGTCTAGGGCTCAGAGGCCACTTGTGGTCCCAGGTGCCCTCCCTGAGTGGTAGCCTGGGCGGTTCCACTTAATAAAGTCAAACCAGCCTTGGAGGCTGAGACCCACTGTTGAAATGGTAAGGCTTTGCCGTGTCTGCTGACCACATCCACTGTGGCTCCTCCTCTTGAGTGTAAAGCGCCGGCCGCTGGCCGTCACACTGTCTCTGTGTTTAGCGCTGTCTTCATCACAGACTGGTGAAGGCGAAGTACTGCCCAGTGTGAAAGTCATACAGGAGAGAAGCGAGAAGCTGCCATTTCCTCCACAATCAAGAACCCAAGCACAAGGTCTTCTGCTCCTTCTCCCTGGGAGTCTGGGTGCTTGGGGTACAACCTTGGGCTCCTGCTCCTGAGCCATGGGAAGCCCAGCTGTGCTCTTGAACAGCTACAAGGGAGACTCGGACCCTCATCTTAGGAATCTTTCAGCTCAGGAGGAACAGACACCCTGTGCATCATGCCCTCCAGACTGCAATAGGTGCTCCCCAAGTCATGCGGCCAGGCAGTGCCAAGCAGTGTTCCTCCTCCCCTCCCTTGGGGAGCCAGCTGCCCTGTGGCTCACCGCCTGGCACTAGGTCTTGCCAAGGCCCCACAAGCATGTGACCTTGGCCTTTGTGGAGGCCCAAGGTCCCGGAATCCGTGTCTGCAGGGAGCTGTGCTGTGACTGCCCACCAGTTCTTTCGGTGTCTGAGACAGGCTCGCTGTGTAGTTCGTGTAGCAAAGCAGGCCTCAAACTCACAGTGACCCTCCTGCCTCAGCCTCCTGAGTGCTGTTGCATGCCACCATACCTGCCCTGTGTGCCAGTTCTTGACTCCAGTGTTCGGCTCTGACATGCCCAAGGGTCTGAGGTAGCAGGATCAGGCCACTTGATGCCTTTGCCCTGTGAAGTCAGAAGCCGGGATCTAGGATCTGGTGGCCAGCGGTGTAGCAGATGATGCACCGCCACCTTCTCTGTCCTGAGAGCGCTGACCCCTTTCCTCCCTTGCCTCTCCTGTTTCTCTTGCCCTGCTCACCTTCTTCCTCCTGTTGCCGTTCCCATGCTCCCCACTCCCCTCCCTGCCGGTCCATCCACACAAACCCAGGATAAGTTGCATTTGAAACATCACCTTTGCAGTATGAAAGGAATGGAATCCAAGTACAAGGAGAAAGTGGGCAGGACCAGACAAGACAGGACCTGGGAGGAAGGGGAGGAGAGGCGAAGAGGGCCTTCATCCCTCAGGGACTCGTGGCCAACTTCCCCTCTCATGGCAGCACATCCTTGGAGCAGAGCCCCCGGGAGTGGTCGGTACAGGGCAACAAGTTGGCCAGAGCCCACGGTGGGCACAGGAGCCCTGTGTGAAGCCTGTCTGCTCACACTGAGCAGAGGTTCCTGCAGGCCATCCCAGCAGCTGGCAGAAGAGTTGGGAAGTCAGGGTGCTCGTGTCTGTCCCCGCAGGCGACTGTGGCCACCTGGTCCATGCCAGGTCAAGTGGGGGCACCTGGCTGCTCCACAGGGCCCCGAAGGCTTCTGGGTTGAGGGTCCCCAGGTTGCCTGCTTCCCGGGCACACACGTGACTGGGCACTGCCCAGGCCTGACTCTTACCTCCCCTTTGCAGTCAGATTGGGTGGTGTCTCACCACGCTCTGAGACCCTCTGCCACCATGTGGTCACCGTTTAATGTATTTTAATTATAATACCATTGTGTCACTTCAAACATGTTACCTTGGTTTCAGTGTTAATTATCTTGTATTTTGAAGACAAAAACTCACTTCATTCCACTTGGGAAAATTACCCATTTAGTCATTGGTGTTTCATTTTGTTCTATTTTGTTTTGTTTTTGTTTCGTTTTGTTTTACATGTGTTTTGTTTCTTTTCTTAAAAGGAAAGGGCAGAAGAGAGGGAAGCAAATGCCAGTAACCTCAGGAGAATAAATCAGAAGCGACTTTTCTTTTGCACTGTGGTAGAAAGCCAGATAAATGTATATTTTTCTTCCTGCTTCAGGTCAGAAACCTTTCCCTTGTCAAAAATGCGATGCCTTCTTTTCTACCAAATCTAACTGTGAACGCCACCAGTTGCGCAAACACGGAGTTACCGCCTGCTCCCCGAGAAGAAACGGGCTTATCCCCCCCAGAGAGAGTGATGTTGGACCCCATGATAGCACAGGTAGTGCCCAGCGGACAGAGAACCTCAGCTGTGCTAGGAGCTCACGAGAAGGCATAGCCAGCCCTGGGCCCCGCCACCACTGCCTGTCCCCCGCTCCTCTACTGCTCACTGGGTCCAGCCCGGAGAGGGCCGGTCTAGGCTGGGAGCCTCACCCCAGGCCAGCTCAGCCTAGACACAGCAGACTGACCCAGCCAGAGCCCAGGGCCTCGGCTGGTGCGGTGCCCTGCCAGCAGCGGCTGCCTTCCCCAGGTGCGGGAGGCGGGAGGTGAGGGGCCGGCAAGTGATCCTACCTCTCAGCGAGCAGCCCCCAGGACCGGGGCACCAGACAGGTGTGGAGCGCCCAGCCCTGAGCACCCAGAGCAGGGAGGGGCCCTTGGGATGTCAGGGTGTTGCAGAAAGTTGGGGTGCTGAGCCCTTGCTGGGGAGGGGCAGCACAGGGTGTTTCCTTTCCAGCACCTTTTCCCAGTGTAAAACTGTGTCCTTGTTTAAAAACTACTCTGCGTGTCCTTTCTTTAATCACATCTCTGCTTGACCCGAATCCGGGTATTATTCTCCTGCGCTGTGCGCTTCCTCCCACCAGCCCCTGCAGAGCAATTAACCACCGCCCTCCCCTCTCTCTGCCACCTTCTCGTTCTTACAGCTTCTGTGTTTTCTCTTGTCCTCTTCCGTACATTCCATCGTCTCTGGCTGCTGGGGTGTGACACCCCCACCCCAAAAAGAGTCCAGCCACAAACCAGACCACAGAAGGCGCCTGAGGTGCAAGGCTGTCACCAGTGCCTTGTTTGGTTCTATTGACTCAGAGGCCTAGCACTTCCTGCTGTGGTGTCCTTTGGCTTTTCCTCCCCGGACATGGATGGGAGTCTGTGCAGGGTAGAAGTCAGTGTGGACAGAGGGACAGGCATTGGCCCACTTCTGCCCCTTGTGCTAGCTCAGTGCCAGGATCTGCCGAAGGCACCAGGCGGTGTTTCCAGGAGCAGAACTGAGCCCAGACTTGCGCCCCGCTGCAGTGAGCCCAATGGAGATGGCCTTTTTCCTTGGCTCCTGTGGAATAGAGAGTGCAGGGGTGTTGGGCCTCCTGCAGCGGAAAACTGCCCTCACCGCGGCCCATCCGGTCGGTGCATGGCTGCAGGCCTGCCATCCATTAGTCTGGAACACTTTGTGGTGGCTCAGTTTCCAAGGCAGCCTTGTGATTGTCCCTTCTGGATTGTCCCTTGTGATGGCACTTCTGGAGGAGGCGGGCGTTTGAACGTTGAGTTCCTCTGCTTGCTGTGTTTGCAAACGTGTCCTGAGGGGTCGGAGTGTGCACCGAGGCCCAGGCTGCATGCTGTGTTCCTGTCCCGTGGGAGGAGTAGAGCCCTCTGGGTCCTGGAGCCTGTGGATGCCTTTGCTTTTTAAGTTTGTAGTTACAGCTTCTGTTTTTCTTGCGCCCTTTCCAGAGGTTGTATACCTTTTCTTAAAGGGATAAAGCCTCAGAACAGAAAAGTCACCGAAAGTTGCAATGTGCATCCAGCAAAGAGGAGAGCTGTTAGGGTTCACTGGTCACAGTCCGTGGTGAGTAGAGCAAGCTCTCGAAGGGCCAGGAAGCAGGTCAGGGGCAGGAGTTCAGGGATTTCAGGGGAAAGTTACACACCAGGGAAGCCGAAGGGGCGGGCAAGACTGTTCTCCAACAGGCTGAATTTGTACACTTCTACATCTAGAATGCGTCTTCTGAAAATTCCTAACCATGACTTCGTAGTGTCAGTGAGGCTTTTAGTCAACTAAGGAGTCTCAGGGAAAAGCTTTCCAGGTCTGTCCCAAAACAGAGCTGAAAGTGCCCAGCGAGGGGCCGTCGCTGTGTGGATGCCGCGGGTTAAATCAGAAACTGCCCGATGGCCAGGGGTGTCCTCACCCCCTTTTGCCTCTGAAGGGCGCCCTTGGGGCAGTAGGTACCTGGCGTGGCTGCTTTTAGTATAAACTCGAAGGTTCTCGCCCTGGCTCTCTGCCGGCCTAGAAGGCCCCTGCCGGCCGGGACAGACCCCAGGGAGTGCAGATGGTGGCTCCCTGGCTATCCGGCTGCCCTGCAAGGCTCCATGGGTTCTGTGTCTCCCGGAGTCCTCGAAGCCTGCAGCACTTTCCTCAAGGCTGCTCACAGCAGCACAAACCAGGCACCCCTGGGGACAGAGAGGCGATCTGTGCTTTTATGGCAGCATTACTTACAAAAGTGCACCTGCTCTGCTGCTTGTGTCAAGAGCCCGGGTGTCAAAGAGAGGTGGTCGGTGTGTACCAGGAGTCACAGTAGAAATCAGTTAAGACTGGCTTGTACATGAAGGGTACAGGCCACCCTGCTGAAACAGCCCCCAGCAGAGGTTTGGTGGCATTGGCTTTGTTCAGAGCAGAAGGGAGCTGGCTGCCTTTGGACCTGGGAGTTTTCCACTGCCTGTCCACACTAGGGAAGAGCCCGAGGAGGTGAGATTTGGTCTCACTGTGTATCCATGAGTGTGGCATCAGAATTTTTTTAGGCTTTTTGGTGTAAATGCATCCCACGGGGTTTAGGCAGCCTGGGTACCAGTCTCAGGACCCACCCGTGATTGCAGCTCCTTGGAGGTTGAGGAAGATCCCTTAAGCCTGGCTCCAGGCTAGGTGGCAACACGATGAGATCTTGTCTCAGAAAAGAACAAATCTGGGGAGGATGTCCTGGGACCAAGGGGAAATAACCAGACATTAGACCTTTTTTAAAATTGCAAAGCCAACAGATAAGCTAATGGTTCTGTTTTCCACTGTGTGTTTGGGCTTCTCCTTGTAACATGGCCTAGGCTTTAGCACACATCTCTGGTTCATGTTGGGACAGCCACACTCCAGAGCTCTTCGAGGTGCCTGGACAGTGGCTGTCACCATTGCAGCTGACATGAGCTCAGCAGGGCAGTGCAGGGGGCAGTGCCGGACACGTGAGCTCAGAGCCCAGGCAGGCAGGCGCGAGAGTGCCGCCGCCTCTGGGGACCTGGGAAAGCAGGACCCAGCCCGTGGCCCCCTTCTGGATAGAATAAGAGGCCCATGGGGCATGCCTGGCCTCAGCAGTGACGCTCATTGGTCAGGGTGTATGTCTTTGCTGGCCTGCTTGAGGCCTCGCACACCTCTTTCCATAAGGGAAGTAGACAGGCAGCAGCACACAGGAGGAGGAAGTTGGGAGCCTGTGAGATCCATGGCTGGGACCCAGAAGTCCCCATCCCCACATACACCTACACTCGGGCCGCACACAGCTGCCCCTGAAGTGTTTGTGGCACCCGCACAGTGATGCATGTGTCTCCTTTGCCCCTGCCCTGTGGCCAGAGGCGAGTGTGTGCCCCACATGGGCAGGCACGGTACTCGGGGCCCTTCTTAAGCAGCTTGCAGGATGCAGGGACAGCCCTGTGTGTGTTGCATGTTTGTGTCACCTCAGCGCTGGAAAAGTGACTTACAGCTCGGCTTCCTTACCCCTAGTGAACGCACCCCCTCCTGTCTTGAAGCCTCTGCCTGCACTGCCTGTGTCACTCACGCCTTCCTGGGAGAGGGCCTCTGAGCACCCCAGGGTGCTTAGCTGGCCCAGAGCTCACCCAGGTTCCCTTCTCCACCCCCTGGGGTCCCTTGGCCCCCATCAGGCTGTCAGGTGGTAAAGGGCAGGGCACCCCACTTTATGGGGTGGGGATCCAGCTACCCAAGTGGGCCAGTGCAGTGCCTGTGGAGCCCCAGCCTGACCTCTCCCTGTGCTTGCCTACACAGACAGCCAGTCGGACTCGGAGATGTTGGTGGCCGGGGAGGTGCTGGATCTCACGGCCCGAGATCGGCAGCCGACACCACCAGCTGAGCGAGCCCCAGTGGAGACCCCAGAGGAAGAGGAGGCAGAGGAGGAGGCCAAGGCCCAGGCGGCCTCCCCTGCGCCTGGAGAGGAGGAGGAAGAAGAAGAGGAGGAAGCCTCCGAGGAAAAGCAGGAGCCAGAGGAGGAGCGCAGCACTGAGGAGGAGGGAGGCGAGGGTGCTGATGGCCCGGAGGAAGATGCGGCCAGCAACAGGAGCCTGGACCTGGACTTTGCCAGCAAGCTAATGGACTTCAAGCTGGCAGAAGGCGAGGCCGGCACCCCAGGTGGCCAGGGCTCAGCCCCACAGGACCAGAAGCACACCTGTGACACATGCGGGAAGAGTTTCAAGTTCCTGGGTACCCTGAGCCGCCACCGAAAGGCACATGGCCACCAGGAGCCAGGGGACGAGAAGGAGGTGCTGCAGCTGGAGGGTGAAGGCCCACCACCCACCCCCGAACTCGAGGAGAAGCTGGCGGAGTCCCCAGCTGCACAGCGGGCCCCGGGTGCCAGGGAGGCTGCGCTAGAGAAGCAGGGCGAGGAGGCGGAGGGCCCCTCCGATGGGGAGGGCACAGCCGAGAGGAAGTCCTCAGAGAGGAGTGACGATGACAAGAAGCCAAAGACGGACTCCCCCAAAAGTGCAGCCAGCAAGGCCGACAAGAGGAAGAAGGTCTGCAGCGTGTGCAGCAAGCGCTTCTGGTCCCTGCAGGACCTCACCCGGCACATGAGGTCGCACACAGGTAAGGAGGCCAGGCCCATGCTTCCTGGGTCCACCCTGGAGCCAAGGACGCCAGCACTCACCCCCACCTTCCCTGCACAGCAGTAGCCCGCCCTCTCCCTCTGTTGGCCCAGGACCTGGGGGCACTGCTGTCCCCACTAGCCGGGGCGGACCGGCCCATCCTCTGCAGGGGTCCCCGCGTGTCCCCAGGGCCTGCTGGGGTGCAGAGCGGGAGGAAAGGCTGCGAGGGCGCACGTCTGTCCCGTTTACCACTCCATGTAAACAAGCGGGCTGTGCTCTGATGCTGACACTTCTCGCCCCCAGGGGAGAGGCCATACAAGTGCCAGACCTGCGAGCGGACCTTCACCCTGAAGCACAGCCTGGTGCGGCACCAGCGCATCCACCAGAAAGCCCGGCACGGGAAGCCCCACGGGAAGGACAGCGACAAAGACGAGCGGGCCGAGGAGGACAGTGAGGGCGAGTCCACGCACAGCTGTGAGCAGGAGGCCGAGGTGGGCCATGTGGCCTTCACCCGCAGCCGGAGGGAGGGCCCAGCCGGCGCCAGTGCCACCAAGAATTGCGGCCGGTGTGAGGAGAAGGCCGGGGCCGGGCGTGCCCCCAGGGAGCAGGCGTCTGCCAGGGACCCCAGCCTGGAGAGCCCCGCTGCCCTGGTGCAGGACCTGCTGGAGCTGTGTGCCAAGCGGCCAGCACGCCCTGTCCTGGCTGCCGACAGCGCCTCACAGCTCCTGGGGCTAGAGTGACAGCCACAGCGCCTCGCGCTCCTGGGGGCCCGGTGTCGTCCACACTGGGACTGCAGGGGCAGGAGAGGGACAGCAGTGTGGCCCACAGCTGTGCCATAGCCTTCTGTGTGCCGTGCAGGGCCAGCAGCCATGCCAGTGCCTTAGCTCCTTCTGGCTCCCCACATGGCCCCTAGCAGCACGGAGGTGTCCCGTGAGGCACGCCAGGAGCCCTGCTCACCTGAGTGCTGATGTGGCCTTTGGTGTTGGTGCACGCTGGTTTGGTGAATCTGTGATCATATTGTTCGTTCTGTGAGCTGGAAACAGGAGAAAAATAAAATAACCGCATACTGTCGGATGCCCATAGCCAATAACTGGAAGAAAATGATGTGAATTTCATGCCCCGCCCGGGCAGGAGTGGGCGCCGCGCCAAGTCTCAAGTAGACCCCGCTCTGTGCCACGTGTCACGTGGAGGAGCTATGGCCTGGTCCTCTGTCACCAGATGTGACCGTCGGCGCGGGCTGCAGTGGAACTCAAGCCAAAACCAGGAAGGATGTGCAGCTGCAGCCTCCAGTGTGTGCCTTCTGCCCGCGTCAGAGGTGGCTGCTGTCCAGGCGTCAGGACGTCCCTTCCTGATTTACAGAAGGGTCACCTCCTGGGATTCCCCTGCAGAAGACACACCTGAACGCCAGCTTGTCCGCTCCCCTCCCCATTTGGTATATGTTGTTATTAATATTATTATTATTATTATTATTTTTAGTTCACCAGTTTGCTGGGCTCTTAAGTCAGCAGAAACACGTGGGCAATATTTGTCCTGGGAGACCTGTGCCACCCCCGCCCCGTCCCCAGTGCCGTGTGCCTGACGCTCCCCGGCCGCCACGGTGACAGCTCTTCTACTGTATCCACCAGCCCTCCTTCCGGGACCACAGAGCCCGGCCGGCTCCGCGAGAGGCTAGCAGCGAGGGGCACCTGCCTGCCAGGCCCCTGCAGGCCTCGCCCCAGCTGTGCTACTGTCATTTGAAAAGCAAGGAAATACTACTACTGCTAATAAAACTACACAAGCAAGGTGTCAGATGGGAAGTTTCCGCTCCCTTCCTGCAACAGAGGTGCTGCCTAAAGACAGACACCGACGCCTGGCCTGCAGCCCTGCTTCGGAGAGGCGGGCCTCCCTTACTACAGCCCCACGGCAGCAGCCCAGCCGCTGCGTGACTCGAAGGAAATCCTACTGTAGCTGACCCGGTGCTCGCACCCTGGCTCCAGCCGGCCCTCAGGGCGCCTGGTCGGCCTGCTTCAGCCGCGGGCCAGCCCTGGGCCTTGAGCCTCCCTGGGGAGGACGCCCTGCACCCCTCCCCCTCCCCAGTGTCCAGCACCTAAAGCACAACCCCGACATCACAGGAAGGGACTCTTGAGATAGTGAGGTGGCGTCTTTGCAGATGAAGGGAGGTTGAGGGATGTGCGGAGCAGGTTAGCGGGAGGTTTTAGTTACTGTAGAGGCGAGTGCACATCAGAACCAATCATCCCTTGGAGTCCTCTAAGTTAAAACAGTTCATGCACCCTTAGTTGTTTTCTATTATTACAGTTGTTGTTGTTGTTTGGGGTTTCTTGTGTTTTGTTTTCTTCGCAGCTCTCCACACTAAACTTGCAATATTGTGGGGAGAAGCCAGGACTAAACCCCGCTGCGGCGGGACGTAGCAGGCGGCTCCCAGCCTGCGGAGTGATCACTATCGAGTTAAAGCTTTACTTAGCCTGGATCTGGACCGGTAGTCAGTAAGGTCTTGCCACATTTTACTAGTGAGGTTGAGAAGTGTATTCTTTGTTTGTTGTTCCCCCAATATTAAACTGTGAAATTTGTGATTTGTTTAAAGGCTGGGTGAATCGTAGCTTAGTTTGCATGTCCAGCTAATTTGTTTCTATACATTTTGTTTGATTCTCTTTCTCCTTCTCTCAGGGCTATTAAGAAAAAAAAAAAAAGAAAAGCATATATATATATATATATATATATATATATATATACAAACACACACACACACACATATATATATATATATATGGATCTTCTGAAAAGTTTTTTGAGGTGCAAGTTGTTTTCTTTTTTCTCTTGATTAACGGACATAACGCTGAGATTCAATCACTACATGAAACACCCGGCGGTGAGAACTGAACAAAGCGCCCAGGAGCTGTCCGCAGACAGGTCCCGGACGCCAGCTGCAGGCCGATGCGCCCCACTGGTGGCTTCCCTCCTCGGGTCTCCAGAAGGAAGTGGATCCTAGTGATTTCAGCCCATGCATTAAACAGGAAGCAATAATATGTAGAATTCATATTTTTCTAAAGGGAACTTAAAAACTGCTGCTACATGTTATGTACAAATTGGTCTATGCCACACGAACAGAGAATCACAAGTTTGGTTTTGGTACTTTTCGTTCCTCTTTGTACTCAAGTTGTGTAGAACTTGCAAATCCAGAATGAGAAGAAAGCTATTCTGAATGGAACCATCTGAGCAATAAACCTTATGTTTTAAAGACGGCAGATGCCGGGCACGCGGCCGTCCTGTGCTTTGCTGTCTCTGGTCCTGAGTGGGGTGAGGCTGGGGTGCCGGGAGGCGCGAGGGAGGACTCCTTTCCCGGAGACTCCAGGCAGCAGCCGCAGGGCTGACAGCCCCAGGGTCACGATGGATGGCAGGGGGTGTCGGGGACAGACCCCTGAGCTCAGCGGGGGAGGAGGCCAGTTCCTGCTCCACCACCAGCTCAGTCATCACCCTTGGGCCTGAGGTGGCACTGCGGGGGGCAGGTGTGCAGAGGGCAAGGCTGAGGTTCCCCCTAGGGCTCACCCCACTGTGACCTCACACACACACACCCCGCTCCCCGGGGCCGCGGCCCTAGGCTGCGGTACCTTCAGCTGGGTGCACCCCCAGCCCCCAGGTGGGCAGAGCAGCAGCTCCTGGCACCAGCCCTGCTGGGTCTCCGGGGCTTCTCGCGCCAGGCTCGCTGACCCTGAAGGCAGCTCCTGGAGGGCTGGAGATGCCATCTCGCTAAGATGCCCCCCCCTCCCCCCAGGAAATCAGAATTCTCCCTCAGCCTCTGGGATAGCTGAGGTCACAGGCGCGCACCGCTGCTCCGGGCACCAAAGACTCCTCTGAAGGGCCGAGTGCCTTCGCCGCCAGCCCCCGCCCATCGCCTGCTCCCCAGGAAGCAGGGAAAGCGTTCCGTTTATTTTAAACTTATAATTGAAGGTTGCACGTTCAGGGCAACAAAGCCGGTCTAGGCCGCCAGAGCCTGCGTCCTAAATAAGAAACAGGCAGTCGCTCCTTTCCCGGGCTTCTCAGGAGAAACAAGCCACAGCCTGGCGAGGATTGGGGCCAGCCCGATCCTCAGCTGCTGCTGGACAGGAAGCGAAGCAAAGGGGCTGCCCCTGCGTCAGCCTGGCTGCCGGCCTGATCCAGCATGGCTCTGGCAAGTTTGCAGAATGTTTCTGAGCCGGAGACTTGCAGTGTGTAGTTGAGGCCGGCCTCCAACTTCGCTGCGACCTTCCTGCCTCAGCTTCCCAATGCAGGAGGACTTGGCGGTCGCGTTGGGCGCCCCAGGCTCCGTGCGGTCTAGGCGACCGAGTGGCCACCGTGACCCCAGCCTCTTCCCGACGCAGGGTCGGCACTGACGGGATGGAGGGGGCTGCGCCCCATCCCGGGACCCCCACACCCGACTTCTCCCTCCAGCACCCTCGGCGCCCCTCCCCCCAGTCCCCAGGCTGGCGGTTGAAGACCCCATTCCCGGGTCCGGGTTCCGGTTCCGGTCAGCAGGCGGAACCCCCACCCCACCCCGCCTCGGACTCTGCAGCTCCTGGCCTCGGGTGACCTCGGCACCCGCGCCGGCCGCAGCGGCCCCAGCGCCCCACCGGTGCCCTGCAAGCCAACCTCGACGAGGCCCGTGACGTCGTCGCCCAGAGACTGCGACTCCTTCGTGGGAGGCTCGAGGGCGTTTGGGGTGCGGACACGGGGTCGCGGTGGGGGGCGCAGCTTCTGGAGTAGCGAGGAGGGGACATGCTGCGAACGCGTGCCCGGTCCCCGCCTCCAGGCGGGGACGAGGAAGGGAGGCGACCCGGGTGGGCAGGGGGCGCAAGTCGGGGAATCGGGGTGCGCAGAGGCGCAGAGCGACCAGGCCGGGGACAGGAGGGGCAGCGCGGCGTCGCGTGGACTCCGACTTGGGGCTCCTGGGCCGGGTTGGTTTGCCAGGCGCGGGCTCTGCAGTCCGGGACGTTCCAGTGCCGAGGCGCGGCGCTGCCGCGAGGGGGCGCCCGAGAACCAGTGCCCGCCGCGGGCCGGTGGGGTCGCCAAGGACGGCCCTCGGCACGTGCTGGGCCCAGGTGAGGTCTTGGTGCTAGTGAGCTGGTCAGTTTTGTTTTTTAAAATCAATACGGGAATCAGACAACCGCGCGCTTGCAACGCAAGCGCTTATGCCGCTGAGCTAAATCCCCAGCCCGTTGGTCAGTTATTAAGACAGAATCTGCCCCCCAGGCCGGCCTTAAACTCAGGTTAGCTCAGCAGCTAGGCCCCCCGCAGGCTGCTCCTCTGCTCTGATCTCCGGGTTGTTGTGTTTCCTTGGGTTTTTTTTTTGGGGGGGGGGGAGCGGGGGTAGAGACTGCAGATTGAACCCAAGGACTTTACAACAAGCTACATCCTCAGCCGTTTTCAATTTTTATTTATTTTTAAAGGGTCTGGTTAGATCATTAAGTTGCCCAGGCTGCATTCCAACTGGAAGCCCTCCTGCCTCAGCCTCCCAGAGTGCTGAACCTACAGGTGCGCCCCCAGCTGAGGTTTAGAATTCCAGGTGTGGGAGGGGTCTCCAGTTACTTGCAAGAACTGGAGCTGCATGTGTGGGGTTCACCTGGTTATGAAATGTCGTCAGGAAGGGCTGACCTGGAGGGATGGTTTCTCTTGGCCTTGTGCATATCCAGTGCATGACAAGGGCTTGGCCGGACGGCTGCAGTGCCCAGATGGAGCAGCACCCACAGACAGCTCTTCACGGAGGAACGCATTAAAATGATGTCCCACACCGGCCCTGGCCCTCTAAGAAGCACTCAGGACCCAGAGATGCCGAGGAGACCCAGGAGGCCAGGGCCCCAGCTGGGTGATGGGGAGGAGGTGTCTGTGCCGTGGGCACAGGGGAACAATGTGGCACTGCTGGCAACTGGATGACCATGGCATGGTGGAGCAGGAGGACGGCCTCACCCTGGAGCCCGGCTTCACCCTGGAGCCCGGAGCCGCAGGTCAGGGACCCAGGAGCTCTCCGTGGGTCACAGCCAAAGAGATCGCGCCCGTGAGCGAGAGCAGCAGTGCTGACGCCGGAATCCACGCAGCCTCCCGAAGCCCTGCTGGAGCTCCAGACTGCAGAAACCTCTGAGAACTAAGCCGTGCCACCCACACACAGCCGCCTTGGGGTGCCCAGAAAAGGATGCACAGGGCGAGGCCCAGTGACAGATCCTCCCTGGGCACCGTCAGTGCCATGCTGGGAGGGCAAAGGCTGCACAAGTCACATTCTCTTCCCCACACATCACTGGCGATGCCTTCCCAGCAGTCAGAGGAACAAGAAATGGGTCCGCTTAATGTGGTTGCAAAGTGGGGAAATTCTCCTGGCCTGCAGCCATGTGAGGGACCCCAGGGCTCTGGGTGTGCTGTGTGAACACCACTTACCTGACGCTCTTCAGGGAGGAAGAGCCCTGGTCTTGCCTGGAGCCCTCCAAGTGCCCCCCCCCACCAGCTGCTGGGTTACAATTCCCTTCAACGAGATTCTCATCTAGCAGGTGTAGGGGTGTGGATCTCCTGTCCCTATCCCATGCATGCCACTAAGGTGGGGATTTCAGAAGCTGGAATCCAAGGGCTCAAACTTCATCAGCATTGAATCCATGAAGGAGTCTGATTTGATGTGTTTGGGAGAGGAGGAACCTTTTGGGTGGGTCTGGTGGAAGGATGTGGTGTGATTATGGTTGATACATTGTATCAACTTGAGAAGTTTAGAAGTTCAGCTAAACTCAGCAAAGAGCCAGGGTTCTTGCTTTGTAAACATCCTGGTCCAGTGCAAGAAGAGGGCAGAGATTTTGTGAGTGCTACACCCGCTGGCTAGAGGGGGTGGCCTGTATACAATATAAGGAAGGACAAGAGGCTTGCTCTTCTCTCTCGCTCTGGCTGCTTTTGCTGGCTGCTGCCTTGAAGTGTGGCCCCTGTGCTGTGCCACCCAGACTTAGAGCCAGCTGATTATGGACTGAAACCTCCACAGACTGTGAGCTAAATAAACCTTTCCTTCCTTCATTTTGGGTGTTGGGTATTTTGTCTCAGCAATGAGAAAAAAGTAACCAACACAGAATTTGGTACCAGAGGAGTGAGGTCCTTGCTGTGTCTATTCCTGAACATGTGTCACAAGAGCCTTTGGGAATGGCTGGTGGGAAGAGTTTGGAAAGGTTCAGATACATTGCCTGAAACAGTAGAGCTGGAATGTGTTAAGCTGTTCTGTATGGGAGATTATGGTCAGTCTGGTCAGAGCTCAGAAGACCAAAAAAATTGGTAAAGACCAGGCTCAGAAGGTTTCTACTGGGAAGGACTGCATTGGTTGCTAGACTCCAGATGATGTGTGTTACAGCTTCACAGAAAGTTTGTCTGCATTTTGCTCGTGTCCAGAGACTTTGCCTTAGACTGAGATTAAGGGTGGCGGACTGATTAATGTGGCAGAAGAAACTTCAAGGCAGTTGAATGTTGAGGTTGTGTCATGGCTACAGTGGGGGCTTTTAGCCGGATTTATGTTGCAAATCAAGAGCAAAGAGCCCAGCAGGGTGAATTAAAACATTGTATATTGGACCAGAAAGCAAGCTCCAGTAAAGCTTTGGATTGCAAAGAGAGAGCTGAGATCTTGATTGCTGAGAAGGAACAGCAAGGCTAGAAAAGATGGCCTGGCACATCCCAGGAAGTGAGAGGTCTCTACCCTTGGAAGCCTCAGAACTGCAAAAGTAAAAGACTTTGCTTTGATGAGAAAGCCGCACAGAACCAAGTTTCAGAGTGGTGGTGGCATAGAGAATTTTTCCTCACACTCAGGTCCAGAGTGCCCAGTGATCCACTGGGCCCTACAGCAAAGGAAAGCCTGGCCACTGCTTTAGCTGGCAGCAGACCTCAGCGTCATCTGCATGGTGCTGGTTTTAGGTAGATGCAGAATGCAAGAGTTCTGAGGTTTAAAAGGCTTCTGCCTCAATTTCAGAAGGCCTGGGGGGCCAGGCAGTGTGCCCCTGAGAGGGCAGGGCGTGAAGCCAGAGGTACAGTGGAGAACCCAGAAGTTCGGAAAAGCCAGGAGCTTGAATTGTCAAGGAAACATGCAAGGAGGGAGCAAAGTGGGCCCAAGAGACAAGTTGTTGGAGCTCCAACCCCCAGAAGTGCTGTGGGGGGAGGCACACAAGCCCTTTGGAGCCCACAGTTTGCTTCAGATGCTGGATGTGCAACTCCAGGACTTAACATCTGCCCTGCTGGATTTTGGACTTGTTTTGGTCCCAATGCTTTGTATCA